TTTTTAGGGGTATGTGTGTGTGTGTTTGTGTGTGTGTGTGTGTGTGTGTGTGTGTGTGTGTGTGTGTGTTGTCATATTCCCTATACACTCAAAAAAAGCATAGCTGTGCCGAACAGACTGTGTCATCGGACTTTCACCGACTCATCAGAAGGTGTATGTGTGTGTGTGTGTGTGTGTGTGTGTGAGAGAGAGAGAGAGAGAGAGACAGAGAGAGAGAGAGAGAGAGAGAGAGTTTGCATCGGTCGGTTGCCTCCATCCTCAGTGCATCACCTGTCACATTTGTTTTTGCGAGCGAAGCCGCAACAAGTCATCTCGTAACATAATAATAATAATTTATGAAATCATGAGATAATTTGACCTATTTTTGCAAACCTTTCCGTTGTTAGCACTGTTCGGAGGTGTTTCAACCGAATTGAGATGGGTCATGCTCACCACCACGAGAGCATTGACAATGCAGCAGCCTGACATCGGTGCCCCCCTGCATCGTTCTATTTATAGACCACCTCACCTCCACATGGCCCTTCCTTTGCGGAGGACCGACGTGGCATCATTACCGACTTCCCCTGAACAGAATGCACCCTCATTTCGGCAGTACCTGACAGGAAACATAGCTTGTATACATTCATTATCAGGGTGCGTTGTGTTCGGGGGAAGACGGTAGGACAGGGAGAGTCATCTATATGCGAAGGCGGCTGCGAAGGTGGCTGAGACTCCAATCCCAGGCAAGAGGGAGGGAGATATGGGAGAGGAGAGAACGAGCTAGCAAACCCTGATGCGCCTAAGCACAGAGAGGAAAGAAAAGAGGGGCTGGCTGAGAAAAGAGAACAGGCCGGCAAAGTGGACGTCACATAGGTGCAGGAGAGGAGGACGGCAAGAAAGACCATGATGGCATGTGAGGACCTCCTAGACATGCACGCCACTACTAGTACTAGTCTTAACCCGAATAGAACACATGGTCATTATCGCTGTAGATAACCTAAAAGTAGCCCCCAAAATTCACCTGTAATGACCATGAATTCCATTCGGGGAAGACGGTTAAAGAAAAAGAAAGAAGAAGAAGAAGAAGGAGAAGAAGAAGAAGAAGGAGAAGAAGAAGAAGAAGAAGATGATGAGTGACAAACAGCCACCAAACTGCTTTCGGTACATGCTTCTCAAGCTTTCCATTCAATAATGCGCACATTCCCCTACGCATGTCTCAGCCAGGTGCCCACCTGGCGCTCCTCAGACGGCTTCCCCCCCTACCAGCCTTGCGGCTCGACCTACCTGTCCACAACCTGAGCTGAGAAGAAGAAGAAGAAGAAGGGAGGAGGAGGATAGTGCGGACCTGGCGCTCCTCAGGGGGCTTTTCCCCCTACCAGCTTGCGGCTCCACCTAGGTGTCCACAAACTGAGCTGAGAAGAAGACGTAGAGAAGGAGGAGGAGGAGGAGATAGCGAGGCTAACGCTAAGCGCTCATATCATTGCCATCCCGAGCAAAAAACATCCAAAATAAAAGCGCACATTCCCCGATGCGTTTCGGCCGAACATTCATGCAAAAGTTTAAAAAAAAACTAAACGGATAGAACTCGCTCGAAATAAAGAAAGACAGGAAAACAGCAGGACATCATGAAGCACAAGGGGCAAAAAGCAAAAAGGCAAAGAAGCAAAAGGGGAAAGAAGCAAAACGAGTGAACACCATGTTATAAAAAAAAATAAAAATAAAAAAAAAAGAGTGAACACCATGCTACGATCAGTAAGAAAGAGAGAAGACAGCATTCAAAAGAAACAAACAAAAAAAAAAAAACGATCACAAAACAAATTGAAACGGAGATTTAAAAAAGGCGAAGCGAAGAGAAATGGGCAAGGGGGCAAAGCAAAGCTATAGCTACAAACATTTGCCGCCTTTGCCTTCGAAAAGAAAAAGCCAATCGTCACCATTGAAAGAGGGACGCTTCATCAGAGCCTGTAGAGCTCTGATGCGTCGCCGGGTTACTTGTCTGCTAATCAAACCGACACGGCAGGCTTCATCAGAGCCTGTAGACCTACCGACACGGCAGGCTTCATCAGAGCCTGTGGACCTACCGACACGGCAGGCTTCATCAGAGCCTGTAGACCTTGAACCGAAAGTAGGGGGGAGGCATGTCATGCCCGTCTTCGTCAACTTTTATGTCAAGCTAATCGGCGGATGACCCGAAAGTAACTTGGCCTACTTTCGGTTCAAGACCTACAGGCTCTGATGAAGAGCGCGGGGTTACTTGTTATTTTATTCTTTCTTATTTTTTTAAGCCTGCCAAGTCACGTTCAGAAGATCGGCTCTGATGCGTCGTGGGGGGGTACTTGTCTGCTCTCTTCCCTCGCTCGAATTTTCTTCCTTCTTTCCCCAATCTCCTTCTCGCCGGGGGGTCTCAATTTGCCCTTTTGCCTCTCTACCCTTCCGGCTCATCTATTATTTCGTATACATCGTCACAAGCATATCAGAGCGCAAAAGCGAAAAAAAGGAAAAAGAAAGAAAGAAAGAAAGAAAGAAAGAAAGACAGAAGGATATGGATTATGGATTGAAAGTTCATTTCTATCTGAATGCAGAGGGATGTATCTGATTTTGGTAAGTTGGATTGATGAATTGGTGTCACAGTGAGTATTAGGTCCCTGTGGACAGACTTTCGGGCAAGATCGAGGTGAATGCTATTAGGT